CAAGTTTCAGTGTGACTATTTGCCTGTCACGCCACACGTTCGGCCACAGGGAAGCTTCCTGAATGTAAGTAACTACTTTTGTTTGTTTCATTTTCATTGTTTGTTCATTTTATCATGTTGTATCAAAGTAATATTGCTAAAAGTAATGTACTGTAGTTGTATTGTAGTGTAGTATTACTGGAAAATAATGCTATGATTATGTTATAAATATATTTATTTGTGGAATTATTATTCCGATAATTATTTTATGCATTACTTGCTCAACCAAACACAAAGACAGCCTGGCGACCGACTGCGTGTGTTGCTGAGCACTTTTTATGAAAAATAATGCAAATAAAATATTCTAAATGAATTATTTATAAGAAATAAGTATTATAATTAGTAAATATGTATATACATTACTGACCATCTCGGACATAAAGGCAAGCAAAAACTTGTCGCGAAGTGCGTAGTGATCACGAGTGCTAGCTGTCAAAACAACACTGTCCCCTTACTCCCTCACCACTGCGGCCACAGAGAAGTTTCTAGAGGGTCAATATATAGTTTTTCTTGTTTCTATTTTATTGTATTATCATTTAAAAAGGTTAAAAATTATTTTTGGAAAAGTTTATTTTTCTCGATTTACCCCGCGTGGGGGATACGGCCAGCGGCACCCTAGCCCGGGGCTATATCCACATTTCAGTTCTAGCCTAGCCTATGTTTGGGCCTTGGGGGGTCGACTTTTACAGCGAGTATAGGCCTAAACCTGAATCTTGAACTAAAAATCTTGAGGTCGACTTATATGCCGCAACTTACAGTATTAGGGAAAGATCACCTAGATATGCGATTGATGTTCATAGAAGCCCTGGTAATTTATTTCCTTCATTTACCTTTTTCTTACGATGGTCCAAGATTTTCAGTTAGTTATCAACATACATGCACACGCTTTTCACTTCAGTCTTGGTTAATGATATTTCTTTGTCATATTGGGACATGTGATATGCCAACTTACTATTGTTATGACCTAGGTGCATCCACCTGCATTTTATAAAATATATAACACTGTTCTGTACAGTTTAAGTATTTGAAAACCATTCACTCATTCATACCATGACACTGCTCCAGTGTGTGATTTTGGGCTATGAATGTTGTGCGGCTCAGTACAAAAATTCGTTTTGCACTTGCAAGAAAGTATGACAGGATTGTAGCTACTTCAACTAGTACTAAATGTAAAAACAGAAAATTGTATTCGCTGGTAAACCTTCCATCAAGTGACAATGTCTCGTAGTTTCACCAGTTGGCCGTTAATGTTTTGGTGGCAAGCCAATCGCTACCGCAATTCAGTTTGTTTGTTTGAATTCACATCTGAGAGGGGTGGTGTACTTGTATAAATGTTACAGATTTATTCTACCCTTAATGGACTGCACCATGGTTCCCAAACATAAAAAAATTTACTGGTGGAGGTGGGAAGAGGAAGCAGTTTGTAGTATCAACTGCAGATAAAATTGCTCTTTTAAAAAAAGTTGGATGAAGGAACCTCAGTTTAAAAATTGTGTCAAATATGATCTTCTAAATAATGGTAATTTTCCAAAAAATATCTGGCTCACAGCTGGTGCCATGGTTGTTGAATATGGGAGCTTCAACCTGTAGTTCCACAACATAAGCACCTTTTGTATTCTGTAGCTTAAATGATGACAAGGTTCCCCCCCCCCACCCCACACCAAAAAAAAAATAATAAAATAATAATAATAAATTAATTAATAAAAAATATAAAAATATATAAATAAAAAAATAAAACAAGGAAAGCAAAAATCTGAACACTTCAACTGTCAGGTGAATCACCAATATCATTACCTTCTTTGAACACATGAATCTCTTCAATGTCTGAACAAATGCCCCCCCATACAATCTTACTACAGTATAGTCTCGATTTACGCGGATTCCTTTACGCGGTTGGTCATTTACGCAGCACCTGGCCAGACAGGCAATTATTAGTTACACGGTACATTCCATCATTTACACGGGAAGCGGCGCAGGCAGGGTGCGCACTAGGTCGTCCAGTCAACAAAACATTACCGAGTTCTTCACCCACCACAGCCAGCCCAAGTCAGTGATAGTGAGGATATGGACTTTGAGGGGTTTGACAAAGAGGCCCTGCAAGCCTCTGTGGTGGATAGTGATACAGGTGATACAGGTGAGGGCCAATAATATGCCCTCTGCCTCGGAACCAACCCCCCATCCCCGTGTGCCCAGCCATCTCTTCTACTAACGTAAGTGTTAAAAAACCTAATATTATTGATATTTCTCTTAAATATTAATTGTGTGTGCATACCATCATAAAATTAAGATGTTATTTTTACTACAACGTACGTATTCTGTCGGAAAAAGGGTAGTCTGAGGGTCGGCCCAGTCTCTATTTCAATTAATCCCATATGTTCTGTTATTTCGTCTACGCGTTTCTCGTTTTACGCGGACCTCCACGGGTTTAATTGACCATGTAAACCGAGACTATACTGTATTTCCTTTATCCTCCATTAAATATGTAAAATTGGAAAAATTAGCTTGGATGCGTTACTGAAAAGGTTTTATGAGTAGTGTGAATTACTAAAGTACATCACTGAATTTAGTTACAGTATAAGTGATATTGTATGCCTGGTGTTATGATGCCTCTCTGTAGTTTCTTTTTCTGAATCAGGCAAAGCTGAAATCTGACCCAGAAGTCAGTTGCATTTTCCAGCATAGGGATGGGATTTCAGGGTGTTAGAGTGTAATAAGATTTACAATCACTTTCATACAAATTCATGTTCACTCTCTCATGCGAGAACTTAGCCTCATTCGAAGCCTGTATTGGCCCTCTCACACCAAATCACATCGGCAGCACCTCCCACCCTCCCCACCTGAGTTTAATAGAGATCACAGTCATGCCTCCTTTTGTAATTGACATAGCTACAGCAAACATACACACATTCTTCATGACAAATACAACCCTTTGTGGTATTAGAAATACGTACAGGTACACCAAATACTTGGACGGTGAGTACGATTACTCCAAACAATTCATGCATCATTTTAATACTACATATCTCTAGTATATTTGATGCGAGCTCTTTTAGCGCTGGGTGGTATATTGTTCATATCATAAAGTGTAATTGATATTTTGGGTTTGCAGTCCCAAAGGCCACTGTACCCATATTATAGACTGATTATTACTTCATAAAGTTACTAAGTTTGAGCCTGTCAGTCCTGAGGCGCATGAACTTATGGTGGTCTAATGCTACAGTATAAATAGTATAAAAGTAGGTCCTCCTTATAAGCGAGTTCAGCATATGCAATTTTACTTATATATGAATACCCTATTTCCACCAGAAATTCATTATATGCAAGATAAACTCGGTCATAGGCAGTTGAACAAGAGAAATCACATATTCTGCACACCTTGGTTCCCACTAGCTATTACTAACTTAAGTGTAGTGCATTGTGGACGCTGGAAAGTTCATGCTAAGCAAAATGACGCACACAACAAGCATTAGTCTTGCATAAGCTTTTGTACTGTGGATATCTGTGCTGCTTTATTGGTGTGGCTTCTGTCTCCTGTCCTAGCACTTGTTTCCATATAAAATGGAAGAAGATTACACTAACATTGCAAATCAAGTTCACAAATTTTAAATGGGGTGAAGTTCATGAATGAACATCCGAGCTTGGTTATGCATTTAAACTTTGACAAGTCAACAATAGTTGTTCCTCGTCAAATGCAACTCTGCAAAAAGCACATCTGTTAATGCGTGCAAAATTATTTGAGACACTATTTTGCCCATGATGATTGCAAACCTGCCTATACCTGAGTTGGCATGTGGCTGCCATTTCAAATTTGGCATGCACCAAGCCTCACATAGCCTGCTACCCATACATCCAACCCCTTCCCATAGAGCAAGAGCCTGACTAAATATTCCATTGATTTGTATTTAAATATCTTAATATTTGGTGGATTTGTATTAAAAATAGTAATTTTTAAATAATATTAATATTTCTTTTAACAAGATGTGTAGGCGGGAAAACTGTTTTAGTGTGTACACTGCTTTAAATACGCTTTGGTGCAGCTATATGCTATGTGCCCCAAACAAGCAAAACACCCGAGTTACCAACAGTGTTTAGATCTATAGAGTATTTAAAAATCTTAATATCTTGTAGATTTGTTTTGAATAAAAATAATAATTTTTACAATACATGTACAGGTACAGTATCGGGATTTCTTAAATACAAATGCACAGGAGGGAATAATAGTGACAGAGCATTGTGTATGATCAGTGATAAGCATGTCACCTTCTGTGGGTGTGTACTGAAGTATTTTATTTGAAATGGTCTTTTATATTAATATTATTATTACTGTATTTTATTAGGAGACTATTACAGTATTAGAATGTCATGAACTGGTGGCAGAAATAGGGTTAGGGCACTAAAGTGTAGGTTAAGTGAATTTTTCTGAAAGACAACCATTGCATATAATAAGGATCACATATACTGTGTTGTGTGTTAGTGTGTGTCCTGAAAATTTAGGGCCAGTAGGTATCAACTTTTATCATTTCTTCCACGATACTTAACTAAATCAGCAGAATCTAAAAACACCAAGAAAATTTAAATCCTGAAGGGGGAAACATCACCTAAATACCTTAAAGCACAATGCATAATGCAAATAAAGAATCACATGACTGAGGCACTGCTGAAATATTTTCTTAAAATGGCATAGGAGATAAAAAAAAGAGGAAAGACAATCATATTGAGTAAAGCCAGAAATACAACCTGATATGAAATTTCCTGATTCTGATAATCAGGATGGGAACCTGCACTGTTAAAACACAATACTATATCTCAATATTTTGTTTATATTAAATTTTCTGTTGGTACTTCAATAAATCAAAATGCCATTGAAGTCATGGAAACAAACCAGCGAGAATAAATCTAATCTAAATCTACTTTCAATAAAATTTTGCTTTTATTAAAAACATAAAATAAGAGCAAGATACCTTACTCACCGGTGAGAGCTGGTATACTAAATTACTCCCGCCATGTGCAGAAGGATAAAACTGCATCACATTTGGTGGCATTACAGGATAACTCTGCAAGAAGAAAGTATTTGTATGAGGACAAGAATATAAAAAGGTAAAAAAATATAGAAGAAGCAGACAAGACTAATTATGCTACACAGTACAGTACTGTACTGCATTAAAAAATGGATAATTGGTCCCAAATCCCCATTTCATGATTAAACTCACAGCTCCCGATACCTAAGTAAGATGAGTAATGCACACACACACACATAAACCTGAAAAGTCTGTCCTAGACCCAGCTGACTACACATTAGTGGATGGACTTTGATCTACCATGGGATTTTACTCCCCATTAATTTTTCGTTCTCATGACAGCCAAGTCTCTTTAACCCTTTTGATGCGCTGTTCGACTGCAGTCAAAAATTTTCTTGGAATGCTAAAAAAATAAATAACTAAATAAATAATTAAATCTGCCGATTGAAGAGTTCTGGGGATCAAAGATTCTGGCTAAGAGAGAGATTACTAGTTAAATTCCTTTAAGAGTAGAACACCCCCGAGTAATGAGAGTTACTCTCAACAGAAAAACCTAGTCCCGTGTGCTCACAGTTTAATGACAGGCTTACAAAGTAATAATAACAATAAAAAATCTCATTAAACACCGACCAAAATGCTAGCTGATCTAATTCCATGTCATAATTAAAGGTAAGTAACTGTGTGGCTGCCACTAATTCATGCTCTAAATCACAATGAGGTTGTGAGAGAAGACATTAACGTAAGTTCATCCTCAAAATCTTCAGGGACCAGAAATAAGCAGAGGTTCAAAGACAAAAACCAACCCTCCTGCCCATTATGAGTTTAGCTGAACAATTGAGACAGGTATGACTGCTCGTCTTCTATGATCAGGTGAAGCATATACTGTAATGGTCTTGATCATGATATTGTGATTTTCCTGCTGCGTGGAAAATTCATATCATATGGAGACTCCTTTCTTTTAAGAATTTATGGATCCCACATGTGTTGCAAATCTTAACTACGTTTTTTTTATCTGAATATTCTATTCTCAGTTCCAATGATTTGGTGACAACAGAAAAAGTAAACTAACATTCACAAGAACATCCTCCCAGCCAACAGTTAATAAAACTGCTCTTTGTAACTGTGATAAAAGAAGAGACTTACTGGTATATGTTGTGAATGAGCAATGGTGACCTGCCGTGGTTGGCCACTGGAGTGCAAGTGAGGGGGGGCATTGGGTCCTCCAGGATGAGGGTAGAATTGACCCTGTAATGCATACAGTAAAGTACATAAATATTATATTTTGTATACCGTACACATGAATGTCATGATTTGGAAAAAAATTTGACAATTCTATGACTCCTACAGATTATTCAATTTGATCAAAATACATCTTGAACTGCATGTAAATTTTTAATCCATTTAGCAGCAACCTGTACCACACTTACAGCAATAATCTACTATGATCTTATTTACCAACCCTTGATTCACTGTCATACACTATGGGGGGTTCTCCAGCACCACTAACACAAAAATTTGAGGATATTAAAACTTACAGTTGTGCTAAATTTCTTTATAAATCAGTTAATCACTTGATTAAGAATAACTATTTCCAATTCCAGACAAACCAAAGGTACAACCTAAGAAACTCAAACCTATTAAAGCTACCCCCATGTGCTTCTCTTAATCCCAGACCTTCATAAAATACAGTGGTGTGAAGATTCAGAATAACAAAACCCCACCCATTTGAGGAAAGACTCCATTCCCTTACTTTAAATCATCTCTTACTGTAAAAGGCATACTATACTGTATATTGTATAAGTATTAAAATGTTTAAAGCCTTACTCTTCTACTTTTTACTGTACCATTAAAACCTATTATACCATGAAGTGTTGTTGGGACTCAAGAAAACAATGAACTAGTTTGAAGCTTAAGATATCAATCTTGGTTATCTGGGTAAGAAGCTGTTTTACAACACTAACAGTGATCTGCTAAACAGTATAACTTGTCACTGCAACAAGTGAAGTCCCCTGCTAGAGGGCAGGTTCTAGCAGTGGGTGTTCGAGAGAAGGTACCTTGTTATAATACTTACTGTACATTTACTAAACACCCCTATGATACAAAATTTATATTCACTGAAAAGTGAGTCATCTAACCTGAGCATTAGGTTGTGGTCCCTGGGGCTGGTTCTGTGTGGTGGAAGAGTACATCATACTATGTGCTGATGCCACCGGTAAAGTCCCTCCTGAAACAAAATTATAAATTTGTTGTATGACAGTTTAATAAATATAATACTTCAGATATAACATGTAAAGCTCAGTTGTTAGAAAACAAGGAATGGGAGAAAACAGGATATTTTCAGAATTACATTATGGTGTCCAATTGTGTCTTGGGCCAGAGCCGAAACTGCACAAATTCACTCAGCAAGACCCGACTGAAAACATGCAAGCCAATTCACACTGACCGAGACTCTCACAACCCAGAGCTGACACACCCTTTAGTACCGTATTCGTAAAGTAAACATTCATAGTGAGGGATAACTTTATTTCCAAATATTATGCTTTACAGTGGTCCCTCGGTTAACGAACGCCTCGGTTAACGAATTACCTTCCATAAGAATCTTCATTTCGGTTAACGAAATTCTTACGAAAATGTTTCGACATGCTTTGGCTTGCTCACTAGCTGGAAGATTAGTCCGCCAATACAGAAATCAGTTCTAGGGCTTACATTCATTAAAATTTGAGTATATATCAAGAAGGTTGTGCTATTCAATAATTGTCCAAGTTTTATATTAAATTTTTTAGTCATTTTAACACTTATTTAACATAATTGCAGTACAGGGAACTAGTTTTTGGTGCGCCCATCAGCCACTTCACTCACCCACCAAGGCTTCAGTTTGTATCTCTGTTCAGTGGAGGAAACATCTTGCTTGTGGGTCTCTTGAACACGGAGTATTTTTACGTTTTTACAGTACAATTTTTGGTCATTCTGAAATTTATTTAACATATTTTGACAATATATAGTGCAGTGCAGTGTTGATTTAAAGAAAATAATCTTGAATTACACCTAGTGAACTTAAAATTTCATAGGTGAAACGACGGCATCAAGCTTGGGGTGACTTCTCCTCCACCCCCACTTCTAATTCCCATCATCATCACCAACCAGGAGCCTTCTACATACACACCTCAAAGTAAATGTACTTTACTGCATTTTCTTTTTACTTTGTATGTAATTTTCGGTGAGCTGGAACCAATTACCCAAAATCTCATAGAAACAATGGTTTCGGTTAACAAACGACCTTCTGGAACGAATTAACCGAGGGACCACTGTATTATGAATCCATTATTGTTTTCTTTCTTTCTAAATTTAACATGAATTATTAATTTTCATACTTTGTCTAAATTATTAGCTACGGTTGGCATAGCACCAAGCAGTTTCCTCTAATGGTGTATGTGAAGCTGTTTTCATTAATTGTAAGACTGTTCTAAGTTGAACTCCTTTAAATCGGAGCCCCATAAACTGGGCAGATCTGGTTGTTGCATACAGTACAGTACAGGTAATTACAATGAAAGTATTAGTGGAAATTCATAATCATATTACATTTAGAGAATGTGTCCCCTGTGAATACTTAAGGAAGGGTGTACAATAGTACTTGAATATGTATTCATTGACTTTTGACTAGTTAAATGATTTTTTTTTTTTTTATTATTTAAAAAAATTCTACTCCAGGACCAAAAGAAATGTGGTGAATCAGGTACACCAACATATAACGATGCACTAGAGAATATATTAATACAGGTCATCCATTGTTCCTAATTGTAAGGACAGGAAAATCAATGATACTTTTTGGCAGACTGCACAATCATATCAGAGGATCCTCTGGAAGGGATTACCCAAGTAACATTTTTATATAGTTTCTGACAAACAGAAAATTATAAAACTTTAATACTGAAAGCAAATGAAAAGTGGTGGCCACACTTCATTTAAAACCTTCAGCTCAAGTCAGGTAAAAAAAAAATATATACTGTACTGTATATAAGAACAAACCTTTCAGATTCATGTAATCTCTCTCTGGGCAATAATTTTTGAAAGCCCTCTTTATAAATCTTGGCTGCTGCCGTACTTGGATACAATCCTTTCTATATCCTGACAAATGCACAACTACTGACCTAATTTCAATTTCTCCCACTCCAACACTTACAATTATATTGAGGGCAATGCTAGTATGAAAATCACAATCTGATTTGTCTTACTTTCCAAATAAACTTACCCGAACCTTGCTGTATTTGTGGAGTTGATCCTGGAGGGAGACTCTGTGAACTAAGGTCATGTGGAGGCCCTGGGGGTGCAGGACTGGGTCCAGGTGGGACTCCAACCTGACCTACTCCCGTGCCCACTCCACCTGTACCATGGCCACCTACTCCACCACCCTGCACAAGGAAAAAATTAGCAATTACAAATTAAAGCTCCATAAATAAAACAATGCAAAGCATAAAGATGACAGTGTAACACTAACACCAAGTTAAGCATCTAATCAAACAATTGCATCATTATCATGCATCTTTTTATTATTCTTCATCTTAATAGTCTTCTTGCACATACTGTACTGAAAGGCCATGGAATTCATATAAATATAACACTAACCTTCAAGCCCAATGGATGCTCAAATCAAGTCCTTCAGCAAACCACTGAGTAGTCACCTCAAATTGACCTATCTACATAGTGGGTAACTAACTTACAAGTGAATGGTGCATGGTTGTTGAGTACGGTAATGGCAATACAGTACAGGACCTTTTCCTTGTGTTCCAAAAGCTTCATATTCAGTGTACTGTAGTGAACTCCTTCCACCCCATACAGGCTGTCAGGCATATGGAACCCACTGTCACCTCTCACACACTGAGCACATCTGTTCAGTGATGGTAGTTATTTGATGAGGTTTTGTCATCTCAATAACAGTTAAAATTCCGATGACACTTTATTTCAGTGTCCTACTACTGTACAACCTTTCATCTCCCTGCAAACATTTGCATACTTCCCATTTTTACATAATGTCCACATAATGCAACTTATAATTTGAACAGTATAGTATGTGAATCCGATGATTTTATAAAAAAAAAAGATCAATAGTTAATAAAAGATTTCCAACTAGAAACAACTCTCTACATCTACAAAATGTAACAAAGGAATACCGGATATCCATAACTGCCTAATCACCATATTCCAGTTATCATACTGAAAAACGTAAGAGCTGCTTTACTCAAATCCCTTTATCCCTTATAAAAACAAGCTCTTGCCAATTAAACCTAGCATACCATACTGTAACTGGGACCCCTTAGAAAAAAAAGTGAACGAAACGTTTAAGAACCATCAAAATAAAGGGAGGGACACCAGAAACATTGTTCCATACTGTTTCCATCTCATGCCAAGGAATTAAGTACAGTATATCGGGTCCAACAAATGATGGTTCAATTCGATAAACAGCTAAAGCTATGAATCACTCCGAGAAAATCACTTGAGTGTTATATCCCGTATAAGTAAAAGTCAGTAAGACAGAGCCTATTGAATCATAAGAGTGTATTGGTGGTAATTACAAAAGATGAAGAATATACCTCTACAATCCTGTCAAGAATGATAATCAGGTTAGGATCAAGACCTCGGCCCTACATAATACTATACAGTACACAGTACGATGAGGGGATAACTTGATAGTTATGGGAAGGTCAGTAACAAGCTAACTTCCCCAACTTAGCACTCCTCTTCAATACAGTTAGCAGTCAGATCTTAAGATTACCAAAGTGTGCTAAAAATTTGAACTTGAAATCGAGCACTGGGGAGCACATAACAATCCTTGAAAAGGCAGTAGGGTATAGTACTGTACAGTAGTATGTGTAAATGTGAACGGCCTTAGGGCCGCGGCCACACTGAGAGTGGGTGGGCGCGGAAGACTTTGCAGCATTGTAACCCATAGATGTGTCCGCACTGGCAGCGGGCGCGAGCTGACAACAACACGTGCCCACAGCCTAAGATGGGATAACTGGTATGAATTTCCAAAATGGCTCTTTCCTGAAATTCTACTCCAGACTTTAACCCCCCAAAGGAAGTGGAATATCATCTTGGTAGCCTTAGACCAGATCTTGCACCTGTAGGTGAAGTTAAGGTATAACACAAAGTGATTTCAATCCAACTACCAACTCTGATAGTGATGGGAGGAAGGAAAGTGAACAGCTAATCAGGAAATGGCAGTGTATAGAATTCAAGGTCTCTTTTCTGCTGAGGATGATATTACTAATGAAGTTGGTACAAACTACAACAAGGAGGAAACCCTGAGTAAAAGAATAGGAGGGAAATACCTGTACTAGCAGAATAACTGAATACTGTATAGATTGGAGAACTCTGAGCGCAGGAACACAGGCAATCACAGTACAGCAATTGGAGGATAAACTTAAGGATTTGCTGAAGAACAAAGACAGGAAGTGTAACTGAATGAGGTGTGGAACTAGTGAGAAGAAAAAATCAGATGTGAAACATGTACGTACTGTACTCATTATTATACTGTATATCTGATGCTTCCACCCGAGTATCTCCCAATTTTTCTTCTCTGCATCCTCATTTTGTAGATGCATGTATAAAATAATTCATTTGTGATAGCAGGTCCCACTGCCCTGACAGCCTGTAGAGGGCAGTGTTGATACAGCACACTGAATGCTAAGCCTTCAATACATAAGGAGGCTGTATGACCTACACTACACTCAACCTCCTTCACTTCACTAACTCAAAAATCAAATCCTCTATCACAGCTGGGTGAATTGGGGTTACCCCAGGCACATGCCAGCAACTAGGAGGATATGAGCCCACTCTACACTTTAAACATGGTATAAATGAATCCATACCTGTAAAACTTGATGGTGTTGTGAATGCTGTGTTAACGTAGCATGAGTGTGTGTGTGATGCTGCGAATGTGGCACAGGAGGGGCAGCTGTTGCGTTGTGTGGATTATGAGGTGGGGGCTGTGGTTGTGTACGCAGCTGCGGTGGCCCCTGTGGAGGCTGTGGGGCAGCAGCTGGAGGGGGATGGGGTGCAGGGTACTGGTTGAGTCTTAACGACGCTCCAGTAGCCCCACCCGGCCCACCACTGAATCCACCCACATCACCACCTGTAAAAAATAAAGTAAAAATGTATTAAAATTTGCTCCATAAACAACATTACTGACAAAATAAAAATTACATTAGACAAACAAACATGAAACATCTTGAGAAAAGTAATTACAGGGTACAACTATAAAAAAGAACCCACACACTGTGTTTGTAAAATATGTATGTCCCATGTCCTCATTGTTTGGGTTTGTACCCTTGTGACCTTTGATCACCAACCTCTTATGTTAATCACTGTAGAACTGAAAATTGTGAGGCAAGTTTAATTAATATCCATTCACTCAGTCTTCAGATACTGTGTACAAGAGCATCTAGTAGCATTAACACTCTTGGGATATTCATGTGCATATATGGGAAAACTTCATTCGCAGGATCTAATGTTCTTGACCTTTCACCCCTGATCTCTAAAAATTATGTTGGTGCAGAAGTTTGTATGAAAACTGTACGGTATCTGAATTATAAGTTTGGTCACTATTCACTCAATTATAATCTGTTCAAGAATAAAATTAAAAAAAAAAATTCCGTGACATCCTCCGCTTCCTTCCAGTGTGATATCACGCGGCAAAGTTAAATTTACGTATCTGTGCACCGGGTTACTAAGAGTTTTACACAAAGCTTAAAATTTTCAGGAATTTCTTGTAATCACTGCAACCATCAGCAAACCTAACCTAACCTAACTTAACCTAACCATTAATTATGTTAGGTAAAGTTAGGTTAGGTTACTGAAGGTCGTAGTGATTACAGAAAATGTCTGAACACTTCAGGATTCACACAATTCCCCGAGACACATACAGTACAGTACTGTACTAGATCAGGGCAGACGGATGCATGTATCACACAGATGGGCAGAAGCACACATTGAGTCTTTCTAATATGCCACCAGCCAATAGCAAAGGCACCTATGTTGTAGAAAGTGACGCCAGTGTAACAGAAAGTGATGCCAGTGTAACAGAAAGTGACACCCGTGTTGTAGAAAGTGATGCCTGTGTTGTAGGAAGTAACACCAGTGTAGCAGAAAGTGACACCAGTGTTCTAGAAAGTGACACCAGTGTAGCAGAAAGTGACACCAGTGTAGCAGAAAGTGACACCAGTGTAGCAGAAAGTGACACCAGTGTAGCATAGTGATGTTGCTAATAAGAACGTCAGTGTACAAGTGACGTCACTGTAGCAGAAAGTAACTCTTGGGGAACAATATAACACCAATACAGGAGAGTGTGATGCCGTAAGGACGACGACATCCCAGTAGAAATTATTCTCTCTCTCTCTCTCTCTCTCTCTCATCATTAATCCCTCGATGATTCGGTACGCCGAGGACTCTGGCCTTGGAGAAATATCGCAATTGCGGAATGAATCCCATTTTTTTTCATTGCATTATGAAACTGGAGCGGTATGAAGGATAACTGAAATACTGACAACAGTAAAACTGGTACGAACAAAGTGTTTATATACACTTGACACACGTTAAGTCAGTCACATGCAACACTCGTACGCCACGTCGCCCAGCGTGAAGCCCGGCCACTGTGACGCATTGACGCACGTCGCTGAGTCAGTTCCGATGTTGCCATATGGCCCATGTCCCGAGGTTTCAGTGGCCTTACTGGCTAAGGTTAATATCTTAGTTATTAGACACAAAGTAGGCTTTTGCCTACTCTTTACCCGTTTTTATAATTGTTTTACTTGTTAAACCCCTTCAGGAGTGGGGTAGCAATTTATTAATTTATTGTAACTAACACCAGACAATTGTATTCAAATAAGGAAATTTACGTTCCAGAAAGGGATAATGTTACGAAAAACATTAATCTTTTATTGTAACGAATTCTGTATTAGATAAACCACGAATTCACGTGTTTCACGAACATTTGTAGATTCGTAAAAAAAAAAAAACATTAATGTGAAATAAATATGGACATTTATTTTGCAATGTTTTGTTTAATTTGGAACCTGCGTGTTTTGAACACTTTCAGATGCAATGACTCATTAGTATTGTGTTCTGACTCAAGCCAGGCTGGGAGAAGCACTCTAGGGCCTAGAGGGTTGTTATCTTTCCTAAATTACATTGGTTGGGACATAATTTGGCCATATGCTCATGCCTGTTTTTTGGTGTGGCAAAGCTGGTACTCTATACGTGTTTTATGACGAGTAAGTTTGTTAGGGAGTATGATTGAGCGAACTTGTCACTGGGTGAGTAAATGAGCGAGTGTCGGTGAGTGAAGGAGGGGTGTTGTGCGGTGCCAGTGTGTCATGGTGAGTGAATTTGAAAGGCAAAGGCAGTGTCTGTGAGTGAGTGATTTAATAGTGCTTGGTGTTGTCTATGTTTTATGGTGAATGTCTGAGCTAGTGTCTGTGGGTGCGTGTGAGTGAAGGAGGGTGTTGTGCTCTACATGTGGTATCTGATTAGTGAGTGTGAGTGTGTGAGTAGTAGGTTAGAGATGGTGACTGGATTGTGTGAGTAAAGTTTGTTATATATGTAATTAAATAGTTTTTTTTTGTAATTGAAATTGTAATTTGAGTACTGTAAACCATGCAATTGTAATTTAAACGTTGGAATAGTAATTGATGTTCAATAGTTATCGCACATCGCCCCTCCCGGAACTGTTTCCAGGCACGGTGTGAAGGCGGGGTGGGTCCTCAGTGGGTGCCCCCTTTGTTTGCTAGTTCTGCCGATATTTCAGTACTTCTTGAGCTAGGAAACTTAAATTTGGTCACATTAAGGAACATGTGCTTTGGGAGAAACTTGTTTTTATTTATTTTTTATTCGTGGTTTGTGCATGGCATGTCACAGTGGTGTACACTGACTGTGCCACTGCTTGCTGTACCTTTCATTTTTGTTAAGAACATTGTTCATGGGGAAATGTTTTGGGCACTCCTACTGGCGTTTGATGGTTAGGCAATTCTTTAACCGAAAGTTCCATGAACGATGGATAGGATGCGGTGGCCCTCTCACTCACCTCACCGGACATTACCCTATTGGATTTCTTTTTATGGGGAGGGGGGGGGGTGTAAGTCAGATATCGTGTAGCGTACACCTGTAGAAGACATCACAAATACGGTCATGAAGAGCGGATGCCATCGCCAGTGTTGACGTGAACATGTTGCAGCGAGTGTGGAGTGATATTGAATATCGGTTTAAACTTTAACGTCCCAAGAGCCTCTAGTGGTGCTCACGTGGAGGTTTACGGTCAAGGTAAGCTTATTTACATTAAGCTGCAGACGGCTAAATTAAACGGACGTGTTTATCTTTTGTTTCTTAATTCATGTCAGGCAAAAAGATGATTTAGGGACACCTATAATATTTAAAACAATACCTTAATTGTCTTATATTAATTTTATAAGGAATACTATTACATCCCCCCTCCACACACACACACACACACGGAGCTCCTGTTACCCACGTTAATATTTCTCATTATTTATTACATGTATTTCACCTGAAAACTATTTTGGCTTTAACAGTTTCAGTTGTTCGTTTCGTAACTTTATACAAGTGTGGTGATGTCACACACACACACACACTCGCCTGGCCTTGGCTCATGCTAACTCAGATAGTTCGTTAGCACCTACACGTGATTACTGCTTCCACGTCATACTAATTACCCAAACCTGTCCCATGTTAGGATGATACTCGTGATAATAATGTAGCGAGAATGATGCTAATGAATTATTATCCTCGTCCTGCACTGACAAGCATTATTGATGTCAAGAAGGAATAATTAATATACATGTTAAGTGTGCTTTCAGCCAATTGTATTTCACAGTAAGATTTCATCCACACTTAAAACATGTCTTACCAGTGCTCCGAGAGATTAAAGCGAGTGAGGATCATTAGAGTGAGTGGATAGCGAGTGTCTCATTGTTGTCTATATAATTAAATCGGTGACCGGATAAAACCCCAACGGACAAACCCCAGTCTCATAATATATAAAATAAAACACTTTTATGTTTAGGTTAGGTTAGTGTTGACAAATGACAACCTCGTTAGGGTTTTGTCATGGAACCAATTTAGTCACAGGACAACAGGGACCGCCTCACACCCAAGCTCACGGATCTACTTGTTTTCTCCTTGGTAATTTAAGTTAGTTCCAGCAGGTCCGGTGGTCTTATTTACACAGCCATATCTTGTTTGCTTTGCCATGTCCTGTGATCGTCCTGTTTACCTTGTGTCCTGTGGCAGTCGTGTTTACTGTGTCGTGTCCTGTGGCAGTCGTGTTTACTGTGTCGTGTCCTGTGGCAGTCGTGTTTACTGTGTCGTGTCCTGTGGCAGTCGTGTTTACTGTGTCGTGTCCTGTGGCAGTCGTGTTTACTGTGTCGTGTCCTGTGGCAGTCGTGTTTACTGTGTCGTGTCCTGTGGCAGTCGTGTTTACTGTGTCGTGTCCTGTGGCAGTCGTGTTTACTGTGTCGTGTCTTGTGGTGGTCCTGTTTACTGTGTCGTGTCCTGTGGTGGTCGTTTACTGTGTCGTGTCTTGTGGTGGTCCTGTTTACTAAGTCGTGTCTTGTGGTGGTCCTGTTTACTAAGTCGTGTCCTGTGGTGGTCCTGTTTACCTTGTGTCCTGTGGTGGTCCTGTTTACCTTGTGTCCTGTGGTGGTCCTGTTTACCTTGTGTCCTGTGGTGTACCAAAGGAAGGTTCAACACCTTTCACATCACCAGCAGATCAGCTTTCCTGGTGGGTCTCAGGATCTCACATAAATGTCCTAGTTTGTGATAGCCAAACCTTCACTACTAATAGGCCACAGCCATGACGGAGACAGTGCTGTGAAGTGGCGATACAGGGAACAGGTGATTAAATAGCCTCAGAGGTGACAAAAGGTTTTTTTTTTCCTATTTTTTTGTTAATAAAACTAACATACGCTTGCATACTTCACACTTTAATCATGTAATGGAAGTAATACAATGTTACACTGAGTACAAAGAAAGTTCTGAAGTGGGAAGGTCTGATTTTAGTGTAGGTGTTAGTTCCGTGTTTGCATTCTGGCAGCCAGAGTACTAATGTCTACATCAGTTTGTCACTAAAAAACCTTAAACCCCAACTTAAGGGATCATGAGGTGTGTTCAGTGGCAAGTCTTTAAGACACGTTTAAAATTTGATGAGATCGCTGGTCAAAAGACTTGCGTGAGTGAATCACTGTTGGTCTGCGAGTCGGTCAATTCCAGCTTATAAATTTTAACACCTTCACCTTTCCAGCGTAATGACCACAGTGGTGCCGGGTGGAATTTCTCCACGGGTCGAACATTGACGACCAGCAGTAGTTGCAATAGGTGGTACTCTGTTTTCAGTTTGACTTGACCAGCTCAGTTATTGTCAGTTCAAGATGAACTCCTGGTTGAACCAGACACACTTTGGTTCTCTGACATTAATGACATTACTTTATTCAGCAGTCCCTCCTACGTACCTTGCGAAGGGATACCTTGTAATCGTATTACCTTAAATTATAAAGGTTCGTGTATATCATACACGATTCCCCCATCTTGGAATTTAGCCTACTGTCAAAAACAGGGTGATCCACCACCCCCCGTCTTTCTGCCATTGGTCCATAGCTCTATGTGCATCATTTATGGACTCAATCATGAACAAACAACTTCCGTAAACAAACACCATGAAGCACAGCACCTCCCTGGCCACAAAATTGACCTACTGTAAGGGCAACTGTTCCACTGTGGGTGGGCCTCTCGCTCTCCTAATACAAAGACCTCACTCTGCAGATACTTCTGAAGCTTTCACTAAGGTGCATGGTTCACAATTCAGCCTGTTGTCTTATCAATGCTGGAGTGTCTCAGGCTTAAGTTCTTCCCCCTACCCTCTTCTTATTCCAAATTAATGACCTTTTCTCATATTCCTTCCAACAGCGAACACATTCCTTTGCTGAAGACAGTAAGCTGCACAAAGGTTATCACACGGCCTCAACGCCCACGTCCAGTCAAGTCTCTCAGTAGGTTAGTGCAGAACAGGGTGGAATCTCAAGTTTTTCGTCCGTATAACCAACACCTACAACACAACAGGAGCTGAAAATGTGATGCTTGCGAAGGTAAACATCACAGACTATTCCTCTTTTTTCTACAGCCATATCCTCACAAAATCATATTCATGTTAATAAACAATACGTATAAATCATCCAGCAGTATTAGTGCACTCCTCATGATTCATATAGTAGCTGTGGGAATATTTCAGTGTTAACAATATTACTGTGCATAAAATATCATAAACATACTACTCTACTCTAAAACCTAACACATGTGGGTCTACTGTTAATCATTAACTAATAACTCTACTACCGCTGCTGCTACAGCCTCATAGTACTGGTTCTTTGTCTTACATATAAGATTATTGTTATTAATATTATCATTATCGTGATAACCAATGACATCACAACCTTAACATTATCAAGATCTGAAAATTTCGTGATGTCATTCTCCACCCCACCCCCTTTCCCGCAAACAGTGCGCCATCTTTTGGCTCAGCAAAGCAATTCCTTCTGGTGCTTCGTTGTTCGAACCTCAGGTCACGTATCAATGTCACATCGTGGCTGGCAGCGAGACATGACTTTTGTCCATGACTGTATATGTAAATCATGTAGATTTTGTCTAACTCTGATTCTCCTCAAGGCAACACGCTACTTGTAACTACTTGGAAAACATTATCACTGTGACCTTTCTGGAACATTGAAACACCAACCAGACTTCATGAACATGGTCAGCTTACGTCATATTATCATCCCTTTGAATAGTCGGGCACAAGGGTCCATATTGAAGGGCAGGTCCAGGAAATATAGCAGGGGGGGGGGTCCAAACAATGTAGAAATAACAATGTGACAATTAAGTTCACATATCTGGTCACCTTCCATAAAAATAAGTAACTGACTTGTTAGGTATCATAATCACCAAACGTTACGAGTATTTTCGACCCATGATGAACTTTGTATCTCCTATGAAAAAAAAAACTTTGCAACATTTCGATCAGTGAGCTTCTAGTTACGACAGCCATGCATCACTTAAAATAAATACATTGTACGTCCTTGTGGCCTACATCACGGGAAGTATAAGTGATGTCATGTTATTCATTCAACTCAGGATCTGTAATAATGTAACATGGCATCGACACCCTGAAAGCTCGTTGTGACACAAGCATCTGCCCCCATTACTACCAGTACCAACACTCATACTAGAAACACAATCATGAATTAAGTCCAGACGTGAAATGTTCACAAATCGTTACATTACAAGCCTCTTGCAAAATTTTAAAATCCTTGATTTTTTTTTTTGCAAATATGCCGAAACATTTGTTCCGTCAAAATTACAAAACTGTTGTAAACTAACAATTTCGTTTTATAAAGGTCTCCTCGACCAAAATTGTATTTACATATTTTGGATGACAGACACCTTCTCCCCCTAATCGAATTCTTGCTTCTATCTTTGGAAAATCTATAAAAAAATTAAGAATAAAAACATGTCGAAGAAACTTGTACAGGCCAAGATCTCCCAGCGACTGATTTTTATCCCAATCGGACGACATTTATGGACAAGTCAACCGCTGACAAGCTATTTACCACGGACATCCACACAGACATTATTAAATATTTACCTTGGCTTTGCTTGGCCTTGCTCTGTAGAGTTAAAAAAATACATCAATAAAAATTTTAAACTCGGTACAGTATCAAAAACTATGGCAGCACAAGCTGACAGCTGCTAGCCAGGGGAGAGGGTGGGGTGTGCACTCCTCCAGGATCTGCCCTGGTCCACATTCCTTCTCCCCATCACCTCAGTACTATGCGCTTTTATACTGCCCACCCTACCTGCAAAGTTGTGTGTGAATCTGTGCTTGTTTCGCCAGTACTGGTGATGATGGTAGGGAGGACCCTTGTTGGGCAGTAGGGTGGGGCACCGAAGCAGGTCCAGGGTGGTTATGGTATCGTGTCGCACCAAATGTGTTGTGAGGCGCTCATATATGGGCAAGATCGGTGCTGGGGGCACCCATGGGTACATATAGCCCGAAGGTGGTGCTGTGGAAGGTGCAGGAGGATGCTGCTGCATCCTGCCAGCCTCACGCCTCACCACCGCCACAACCCCACCGCCCAACAGCACGCCTCCACACCCACACCATCTCTAGTCACTTCAAACTATTTTAGCATAACGCAGTGTACACTCTATGGACGCTGTTTCACAGTAAGGCGCCGGTGCCAAACTAGTGCTCACAGCCATGGCACTTGCTCCGGTAGAGGGTGCTTGTGGGAGGCCGGTGTGATCACTACTAGATGGAGCCACCGATCTTGCTGCATCACTCCACTGGCTGGCTTACACTCGCCACAACACATTTCAACTAGTCGTTCTCAACCAACTAATCAATATCGCCGGCTGAAACGGTATCAGGGCCAATGTTATACAACAACGACATTGCGGCCTTTAAATCTGTTTTAATGAATTGTGAGCAATTCTTGTAGATGGTTCTCACACTAACACATCCAAAAGATTAATTAAAGTTTTGTCAACAGTTTGATGGTTGAGCTTAGGATGATGGTGTAGTGGTGGAATGTGTTGTGCTCAGAGGAAGGAAGGTGTGCGCCACACACATGATGTTCAAGTGTGGTGAGGTTGGCGCCCCAGTCGACACTGAGAGCGGGGTGGGTGGCGTCCTTTAGTGTGGCACTCTCACGCACGTGGTTCACGCTGGCAGGCAGGCTGGCTGGCTGGCGGGCAGGCTGGCTGGCGGGCTGGGTGGCTGGCTGGCTGGAAGGATGGCTGGATGGCTGGAAGGATGGCTGGAAGGATAGCTGGGTGGCTGGAAGGATGGCTGGGTGGCTGGAAGGATGGCTGGGTGGCTGGAAGGATGGCTGGGTGGCTGGAAGGATGGCTGGCTGGATGTCAACCACTATGTCGGCTCTGCCCCTACATCCCACACCCACTGCTACTAAACACACTCCAACTACTCAACAAACCATAAACGTCATGTGGTACTTTCTTGACATTGAACATTCACAATGCTCACAAACATGTTCTACCACTGCACTATGCATTGATAAAAATTAATTCGGTTATTTCACGAGGAACATCGTCATCGCTATGGCAGGGATGTCCAGAGTGGATGTGAAGACAGTGGTGCCATTTCGGGATGAGTGACGTGCTAGTTTCACACACTGACAAATACTCGTCAAGTGTGTGGCAACAGGAACAACGCCAGTGAACACGTAAACAAAAACAAATAAATAAGGAAGCTGATGACTGTGGTGGAAGCGGTAGCGGCGGAAACGGATTGTGCATGTTGTGACATTGATTTTCTGGGGGTAGGCCAGACCGTGTTCCTCCAACATTCACCAGCATGACGCCCCAACACTACGTTTCTCCAACAAGCACCAACATAACGCTACATAAAATCAACTCACAGCACACATAATGTATCGCAATCAATAATAAAAAATACAAATAAAATTATCAAAATTAAATCCTATTTCGCTCATCTACAACATGAAATAGCAGATAATACGTGTTTGCTCTCAAGGAGGAAAACTATCGACTGAACATATTAACCATAAAAAAGACTAACAATTAACCAAAGTATACATTATGACGCATTTATCCCGACCCCCTCTAGTAACAAGGCGATCAGAGAGCCACCTACCTGTAGACCCAGCCTCTCTACTGCCACTGGGACGGATAACCACACGCTCGTCACGTCACTTTAGTATTCGTTTCCGTTTTTTATTCATGATCCAATGAAGACTCATACAAAGAGTCTCCATGCCAAATTATAGGGACTTTTAATCAACAGTTTCTGAAATATGACTCAAAAAAAAATACATCAGTGTGACCTTCAGTTTGAACCATTCTGTCATCTTTTAATGAGGCACTCCGAAGGTCTCCATTTTTAATTCCCAGTCCAGATTTGACACATGTACTGTAAGCATGTCATTTAACATCTATGTAATTTTTTTCGAAAAATCGTCCTCTCTGACGTCATCTTCTGAAGCAAATCTGACGTCACAAAGAAAAGATTCAGTGATCTGTTGTTGTGTCTTTCGTCCATGAACCTGATACAACAAGTACCATCCTTCTACGAGGCTTCCTTCCACAGTTATGAGATATGTTTTGTTTTTTTAACCTTTAGTGACCACAACCATAATCATTGACCTTGACTCCGAAAAACAAAGATCATCTACTAGGTTAGGTTAGGTTAGGTTAGGTTAGGTTAGGTGCAAATACGTCTGAGACATCTCGTACTTCATGGCATTAGCAACACACACAAAACACCGCCAAGTGAGGATCAATCAAAAGAACCTCTCACACTGTACACCAAAGTCTTATGAACTGTTATCTGGCAAACACTACAATGACCACAGACAGACAGACAGACAGACAGACAGACAGACAGACAGACAGATAGACATAACTGAGATATACCCAGCAAATTCGATCAAGAATGAACATAACAAAAGAGTCCTAACGATGCTGAACTGTTAACTAGTATAAGAATAATAGAGACAATGATAGAATAGTTTCATGAAGTATGCACGATAGTCACTGAATAAATGTAAAAGCGGGAGAGAACAAAGTTATGGCGTGTAACAGAAGATCATTAATCTGGTGAGAACAGCTCTAGGTTGTGAGAAAAAAAAAAACTTTGGCATTTACTGAAACAAATCGAGATAAAGTTTTTAAAAATTTCGATCTTATGACCTTGGACACATGTGGCAGCTGTGTCGTATGTGCTATATAGATAATTTACAGTCCACTTCACTAGTGCCTTTACACGGGCTCGTCAGGTTTTGCGCAGGGTGGCAGTGTTGTGTTTATTTACATTCGACAGAAAGAAACTCGCAATATTAAACACAATATGGAACAAATAGCTCAAAGATAAATGATTTGTGGAATGTTTATTTGACGAGCCCCTGTAAACGCACTAGTGACGGGGACTGTACAGTAGCTAAAACAACTAACTGGGCATACTTTGTGGGAAACAATATGAGACCATGGACGATAAATATTGGTATATGAGGGCTGTCACTAGTCACACGTCAAATTTCGGAGCATATCGACCCCCCACCTGCACAGATAATTGTTATAGCTACTGTACATACCTAATTAGTGATTACTGTGCAATTACTGTCATTCATCACCCAGATTAACCCTCTTTACACTTGACATTGCAATTTCAAATCAAATGTGCCTTTAAATCTGGTGATAATCGGAAGTGTGTTAAAAATTGTGTTAACTTCACCACGTGGCGCGATATCTTCTCTGATGACTAACTACCCAGCTGTAGCTCTCAATTACCAGTTGAATTAAATGATAATCAGTACATTACATCTCGCACTAAAGATAGGCCATGATTCATTGAGGTTTGCAGGAAGTCATAAAAAATTAATAAGGGTGAGGGAGGATGAGAGTGGTGATTGGTGTAAGGTGAGGGTGAGGGAGGATGAGGGATGGGTGATTGGTGAGGGTGAGGGTGTGGAAAGAGATGATTGGTGTAGGGTGAGGGAGGGGGTGATTGGTGTAGGGTGAGGGAGGGGGTGATTGGTGTAGGGTGAGGGTGAGGGAGGATGAGGGATGGGTGACTGGTGTACTGGTGAGGGTGTGGAAAGAGATGATTGGTGTAGGGTGAGGGAGGAAGGTGATTGGTGTACTGTACTTTCGTCCGGTAGGTGGCAACACGAGGTACTGTATCATGTCGGGCACCACCGCTGGATCCAACAGACAATCAGACATTACAAATTTACAATGCAGGAGGCAAACATAATACTAAATTGTTTATCTAAGACGGTAAATACAACCTCATATTTACACTGTTTACATGGTGATGCCCCCCCCCAAAAAAAAAATAATAATAATAATTATGTCGCCAAACAGTACAAGCAAAAACTATGCTATCCGTTTTGCAGCCCTACCCCCTACCCCTGCCTTATGCAAACCGTTAAAGATATAACCACCACTGATTCGGTAGCAAATTATTCATCTTTTCAAGTTTTTTTTCCCATAAATAAAACTTGTATTTTTTTCCCTCCTATAAGACACAAAGACGTCCAGAAACACCTGCAGCTGAAAGAGGGAAGAAAAGGGAAAGCGCTTATTATGACAAGACAAGATAGATGCCTAAAGAATCCTCGTGTACTAGGAAGTCACTACAAAAGACGCACAAAAAGTGACAGATACAAGGAAAATAAATGACCAAATAAGTGTGAATGATCAGCCAAAAAACACGACAGAGGAGACACTGGAGAAAAGAAGGTATTCCTAAAACAGAGAGTAATAAGTAATGAGGTTGATAAAGGTGTTACGCGCACACACAACAAAACCCAACAGGATGAAACTCCTTTGTTACTCCCACCGTAGGGTACGTAACCATTTCCGGTACAAGTCACCCGCAAAAGTCCTGTCGCCTCTCCTCCTGAACCCACGAACCCCGAGATTCAGACTCGTGAACTCGAAACCGTAGATTTTGTTGCATTATTTTTAACATAAATGCTTCGGATTCACGAGTCTGAATCTCAGGGTTCGTGGGTTCAGGAAGTGAGGCGTCAGGACTTTTGTAGGTGACAACCGGAAATGGTTACGTACAGTACCTAAAACAATTATCTGTGCAGGTGGGGGGATCGATATGCTCCGAAATTTTACGTGTGACTAGTGACAGCCCTCATATACTAATATTTATCGTCCATGGTCTCACATTGTTTCCCACAAAGTATGCACAGATAGTTGTTTTAGCTACTGTACATAATTATACACAACTCAAGTCCACAAGTGTGTGATGTACGTGTCTCTTGTTTTCATCCAGCCCAAAATGTTGTTTGCGTTATCACTCGATGGCTTGTATTAGACGGTTACTCTGACAAAAGTAGTCAGTTTATTGTGTTCGTACATCATACCCGCCACTACACATTCCCTATACAAGACAGGCTAAGACGTCTATTAAATTTTCTACGTGAAAGATTACAAATGCTCAGAATATTTCTTAGTGACTCTCCAACTCTATCTAGACCAAATGTCGCTCTAGAAAGCTAATATTTATAGTAATGAGTGCCAACAAGGCTCTTAAGTCTGGAGTACGTGCCTTCACTTAACGGATAGGGTTGCATATTGAAATAAAATTGCTATCGAGTATTAATGCGTTCTCACAATAATACAAACGTTGTAGGAGTCTTTTCTCCTCACCATTGTTTGTGCTGATGTCCAATACATGCTCACTACTTATAAATAATGAGATGTTGTGGGCTGGTAAATACCTGAAGATAAATTAAATTGATCAAGGAACAAATTGTATACCTGTAGATTATGTATTAATTCTTACCATTAATTTAATTCAAGGGTGATTAAGTAAGGTGTTTTACGAAATGAGAGTAACAACAGTGCTCTAAGTCACCGTGTACAGGCCAAAGGTTGAAACACACAACTAACATATATGTGATTTGCTTCCACCTGGTTGTGACTACCTGAACACTTACGGTATCACCTGTTGGACAGTTATGATGTATTAATAATGAGTAAAAAAAAGTATTAGGTGGAAGTAAATAGCTCAGGTGAGATTATCTCACACACACACACACACACACACACACACACACACACACACACACACACTCATCACG